TAAACCTCGGTTCCCGACTCTCGACCTCATTCCCCGGGCGACTGACTCATCTCGGACAACGCACCCCCCCTCCCAGCCGCATGACGCCGCGCGCAAACGTCGCCACAGGGGCTCGATCTCCGGGTGCCCCCGCAGGCGCCCCGCGCCCCTCCTCGCTCCGCCCCCGTACGTCGATTACCATTAGTCGAGCGCTGTGTGTCCAGAGGCCCCGGGCGCCGGCCGCCCCGCGCGCCTCCCATTACGCGAGCCTCTGCGTCGCCCAGCTAATGCAGTCAGACGTCCAGGTGGGTTGGTATTTGCACAACGGGGAACGGGATGGCAAGTACGGACCCACGTTACATTTGGTAGTTGTAAAGGAATAGTCATAAATGCACCAAGGGCGTTATAAGAGATCTAATGATCGAACAGTGACTTAAAACGAGAGTATTTCGTCCGAGGACTTTTTGCTGCCAAACACCATTAGAAACGGTTAATGCCCGTGGTACATACCATTTTATTTTTATCTACTTTCAATAATACAGATTTACTAATTAACTAGATTTTAATTGCACTCGGTTTGTCTTTTCATAATTTATTCCATAAGAGAACATTTAGCGTAATTCAACTGTTTTCATATTTCCCTTACGATCCTCTCGATCCAGGTAAGATATGCAGTGTACTATATCGAGTTTCTTATCTAAGGCAATAACGTATCAGCAAGAAATAAAATATTTTGTTCTTACTAGGTAAGTGAAAGGGTCCGTCAAGGCGGATATCCGGTAATAAAATGAAACAACGTACAAAAGAATAGCGAAATAGTAAAAGTAAAATTAAAAAAATAGATATTTTTATTGGACCTCTCTATAAATTAATTTAATTAATTTTCGACCAAATGAAACATTTACTCCTTTTCCTAGATACGTAAGCCCTCTTTCAGTTTGCAGTAGGATTGGGAGCTTCACAACACTTTATCGCCTTATAAATTAAACATGTACTTCAACTTAAATGTTATTTGCAAAGGTTCAGATGAATTACCAAAGAAAATCAAGTTCCCAAATCAGTATCAATTTTAATTTCAACAATAATCGGCAAATTAAAACCTTATAAAAAGAATGTTCTGAATTTGAAACAATTTTCATAAGGCAAACTAGGCATAATGCATATCAGCTATAAAGTAAATAATCATAAAAACGTAGAATGTAGAGGATGTGTAAATTGCAACGTTTTAGAATTTAAATACATAAAATTGCTTGACTTGTCTCTGATCTCAATTATCCCTGATTTTCAATTAATTTGGTACGATAGACACAAATTGTAGTGAAGATATAAGCACAATTAATTGTAACTGTTATTATATTAATTGCAACAGTAGGATAATGGAAACACATTTTTATGAAAAGCAATTCATTGAAAACATATATTTTTGTTACGTTTAGCATTAAAACGAAGAAATAATAAATAAAAGCTTAGTAATAAAAATGGTATTTAGAAAAATGTACATACCTTGTCAATCCGACTCCATTTCGTATAGGTCGGACAAACCTTCATCTCTGGTCGTTGGTGCTCCTGCAGTCGCAGCGCTCACTAGCTTTCCCACTGTTGACTTCCGCGAGGCATTGCAGGAGAGTGTCTCCATTGTTTGGAGGCCATAGTTGCCTTTTAGGGATCTCCAATCCAAGCTCTCGGCAGCTCTGAAAACAATATACTACGAATGTTTACTTCTGCAAACGGCTTAATCTGCGCCAACGCTCTCTTTGGATTCGGCCTTCAGTATTTTCTTCATTCTGCCTCATTTACAATATAATTATTACATTGAAATTGAAAGATTTTTGTTATTCATGTATTTCGAAGATAACATAATTTAATTTGCTCTGTATCCTTACAAATACCTTAAAACCATTTATATGGAAGTTGACACATGATAAACTGTATATCAATTCAAAATCGTGGTGGAACAAATTCAGCTGCACAAGTACATACAATTGTTAATCATTTTATTGGGCTGGAGTTGGATTTGATTTTCGGACGGAACGGACGGAACGGACGGGACGGACGGGACGGACGGAACGAACAGAACGAACGGAACGAACGGAACGGACGGAACGGACGGGACGGACGGGACGGACGGGACGGACGGGACGGACGGGACGGACGGGACGGACGGGACGGCAAAACCTTCCCAAGGAAAGATCTGGATATTCCGACGCCATCGGCACTGGCGGAAGAACGGCATTTGCGCCGTGTCAGTTGTGAGGTTATGTGAAACGTGTTGAGCAATTATGAATGCGTCCAATTTAATTATGTTGATTAAGAATTATCCCGCGATGTACAGCGTGATATTAAGTTTTATTTAATGCATTACCTTGTTATTAGGTTAGTTATTAACCTTATTAACCTTAGTTGAACTATCTGAATCAGGGAGTATCATTTGCCAAAATTAAATGCCTACGTATTTGCAAGAAGCTGTGCAGTATTAGTGAAACTTGGTTCATTTGTGCACGGTGAATTAATTATGCCATATTTTGGAATAATTCATTTGTTCATTATAATACCTATTATTTTCGTAAGTTTGTAGATAAAGTAATGCGATTAAGAGTCCGTCCTGAGTTCATTTGAATTGTGTTACCAATATATTTATTTATATCTTATATGATTTCACAATATGCAAATTAGCTTCACATTTATTGTGAGACATCCTAAAGAACTGAAATATTTTTTTTATATTCCACCAGGTTGAGATACAATATGTGAAATTATCCTTGTGTCATTATCGTTCTTTTCAGAAGAGATGAGAATTAAAAATTAATTATAATAAAAACGTTTAAATACAAATTTAAATATTGTACATTAAATTATTTAAATGATACGTTTTTCCCACACAAATTTAATATCTACCGACATGTGGGCGAGAACTACACAAGTTACTTTAAACCGTTTCATTACGCAGCAGCTTCGAACCCGAGAGCGAAACTTCCGGATTCCAATCTCTGCCATATGCTGTTCCCTGGGCTTATTTCGGAAAAGCGGTAGCTTCTGGCCGCGTTTGAAAGCGGAGCCTCGTCCCCGCTGCGGGGGCGGAACACGCAATTGAACAACACCGGCGGCGTGTCCGGGCGCGCGCCGGCACTACGCCGCACAGTGGCCCGAATCGAGTAGAAAGGCGCGCGCGAAACACATCCTTCTAAGTTACTTAGAGTACACTGCATTAGAAATCAGTCCTGAGGGCGTAGCGTATCTCGCTGTGGCTTGGAGAACGGGGAAAGTGCTATTTTCTGAGCTCTCGAGACTAGGCCCACTCGGCTGTGGAAGATACTCTATAATGAACTTATCCCTAGTCCTGCGCATATAACTCTGCCTGAAGGACGTTCATTAACTATTAGCTTATCGAATGTGTGGTCACTCTACAATCGACAAAGGAAGTGGAGTTGGAGTGCGGCAACGAAAGCAGGAATGCAGAAAATGCGGATGCAAATCAGAATTTTAGCGCATGCGCCGTGAATGTTTTGTTTCTACAAGGTTCAATTCAATAATGCTTAATTTTTCATGGCCATATGGGGATATAGGCCATCAGACTCCACTCTTTGTTTGAGTACGCAAATTTCGCTGCTGTTTTCACCAGATAGCAGAGAAGGAAGATATCACTCGAGCGACGAAACAGACGACTTGAATTTTGCTCAGAGGCGTCCTTTAGGTTTAAAGATTTTTTTACGTACAGTAAATCTACAACGTGGTACATCCAGCTTTACTTTCCCCGAAGGAAGGCGTACGAAGGAATTCTTTACCCTAAAAATCGACGACTTCCATCGGGTTTGAATCCGCAAACTTGAAGTTCAGCTATAGCACGCCTGCTGTACGACATGGATGCGTAGAGCTGAGGCCCAGAAAATGCTCCGGGAATTTCAAGGGCCACTTACTCCTAGTGTCCCGTGGCCCTTTCCTCTCTGCAGAGCTCCTGTCAGGCCGCATTGATATCTGTTGCGATTAAAAGAGCGTTCACTGTTTGTACCCCAGAAGCTGAAAGACTTGCCCTGAAATCTTGCACAGAAAGTCAGGAGAAAAAAGAGAAAGTCCATGACTAGGAATGTTTTAGCTCTCGCGTACATTATCCAATAAATAATAATACTAAAATTATACAAAATAATTGTTTCCCAGGAAGTCGGAGAGAACAGAGAAAAGCATGTCACATTGGACGAACCCCCTCTAAGAGCCTAGTCTTCTAGTATATCATAAAGTAATGCGCGTGGCCTCAGTGTCAATCCCTATGATCTTGGCTGACGTGGCTGTAGCTCTACGACTACTCTTTTGGGCAAGACGAAACTATAACATTTTAGATTGTTATTGCTATTGTGTTCGCGTAAGAAAGGACGAAAGGGTAAATTGTTTACCAAGGCATACCTGACACTGAAATTTAAGTTTAAAATAGCAACATTCGTTAACATTCGAAAAGCTAGTAAATATACATTAAAATTATTCAAATGATAGAAACTTTCTAGATTTAAACTTTGCTTTTATTACTATATTAGTATTTCATCTTTTCCTTTCCTCTAAACTCTTTTCCTGTAGTGGAAACCCATAAAAGTATACAACTTTAGAGCTTCTAAAACTAAATGTTCTGCTTCTGAATATTGATGAGCTTTTGTAAGAAGAAAAAAATTAAATTTGTGTTTTAGTACTACTATTTTTAGAGTTTGTAAGACAGATCTGTTTCGGGTAGCTAAATTGCCTAGAAATGTCGGTTGAATAAATAATAAATAAAATATTTGCAATTATAATAAAATTGAAGATATAATTAACTACTATGTGATGTTTTCGTTAACATATACATATATTTTAGAGAGACCAATATTATACTTTCAAATATACTACTATACTATTTTACATACCTATATAATTTATTATTTATATTATTTATGAATGTTTTGCCAGCAAATAACAACATATTGTACGCAGCCAAGCTCTAAGAAAATATAATTTAATCATTATCACGTATGTAAACATGAACGTTTTGGCAGTGTAGAGTCGTATGCTACATTGTTTATTCGGAGAAATATAAAGGTATATTTTCAATCCCCGTCTCGTCTCAGAGTGAATAAATATCTTCATAGAACAGCGTCAATTGTTTCGTCAGCACCACAATTCAAAATATAATAACCGTTATGACGCGTATGTTAATACGACAACCCTAATTTTGACGTGTGTATTTCATTGGGCTACCTGGTGCCAAGCACTGTGTATACACAAAATTGATTTTTTATTTACCGAAACTTCGGCTGGCAAAACTCCGAAATGCGCCATTGAACGTTTGGCGAAATCAGGACCCACTGTGCCGGGGGCGAGGCGGGGAAGGGTGCGGGGCACGGAGGGGTGACGGGGACGAGCCGTCGCCCGGCAATTAGCCTCGGGGGCGGCGCGGGGCGCGGCGTGGCGAGGCGGAGAGGGCGGGGAGGCCGCGGTCTGTTGCGACAGGTGCCTCCCGCCGCCCCCGCAGCCCGGGAATTAATTAACACCCTCTGCCGGGGAGGCGCTCGGTTGCAGTCGAGCGAACGCGGCTGGCCGGCGGCGAGGGCGGCGGCGGCGGCGGCGGCTGGGTCAGCCCGGGCGCGCGCACCCGCGTTTCCAACCCCGGCGACGCAACACACGCGACCCGAGAACTACTCGCCACGCGGTACCACGGAGTATACTGGGCGTCGATGTGATGCGTAGGTGATAACAGATTACCCAGTGACCAATCTGGCTGGATTTTCTTTCCTTACGGGAGACTCATTGATGTTTCGTACTTGTGTTGCGTGTCAGAGACTTGCTACTACATCAAATGAGAATGGGTTGTAGGGAGTACACTCGAGTAAGATTGTACGTTCCCATTCAGATCAAAATTCTTGTGAACATATTTATTGTTCGAAGTCACAAATCGAAAATATATTCAGTGGCACAACAATACAACTTATCTCAATAACTTATACCCATAACAGTAATATGTATGTCTGAAGGTGAGTCGAAATAGATATGCAAGTCAATATGTTTCCTCCACTTAATTTCTCCATTGTATCTGGAGTGTTGAAGTTTTGCTAATTTTGCGAACTTTTGTCATTGTTAATCCCATAAGACTCACAATAGCGGGTTCTACATGGATTTGAATGATTGTTTAGTGATTTCCAGCGAGTCAACTGCTACAGACATTTGTCTCGTAAGTGTAGTGAATTTTTTATTGCGGAGAGTAGCGGTGATCGTCGAAAGTTGGTTGAACAAATCCAGCGCCGGCTTATTTGTCGGCTTGCAAGGTTTTCTCAACCAGGTATCTCGCACCAGCTGGTCACCGTCCCAGCCGGATCAAGCTCTGGTACGTACTCGACTAGATTCACGGCATGCGTGATGCGTATAAGTGTAACTGTGAGTAAGTAAGAGGAGAGGGTAGCTTAAAGAAGAGGAAGTAAAGATTGCAAGCGGCCCGTGACTCGCATGTTAGGGTAACACTGCTCCACACACGAAGCTAGTGTCGAAAATCCTGCCAACATCGTCACTTAAACCCTAAAATTTCTCGACCAGAGGCGCTGTAGTGACATCAATTTATGTCCTAAGCCATCTCAGCCGGTAACTACACGGGTTATTAGCCCATTGGCCGACCTTTACAATGGAAGTCGATAGGAGGTAGAGAATGAAGAACTGTGTGCAGTCCGTATTGAAGGTACTCCTC